TCCGCGTACCAAAACTCTCGAAAGATCCACGCCATCTCCAATAAAAATGGTGCATGAGAAGAGATTGAGCTAGAAGAAGCTCTGTGCAACCAAATCCCTCGTTAGATTGATAACCCTAAAACAAAGAACCCTAAAAACAGAGCAACTGCAAAAACCATCTTTGATCCATGACACGATTAGGTTTATAGAAAGGTGCGTCATGATCTCCTTCCGCTTCAACGGCATCTACTACCTTCTCTACCGTGGCCAGCTTGAGGACGTTGGCGAGCGTCTCGTAGCGCTGCTCGCGGATCATCCAGATCCGGAAGAGTGGAGGCGGCTGCTCGACAAAGCCGTCTTCGTCCACGTGATCACACGTCTCCCTCACGCTCTCTCTTGCCCAGAAGACTTGTGGCGCCTGCTCAACAAGGACGTCTTCATCCAGGTAATCTGTGTGTGTCTTGGCCGTCGAGTCTAACTCTTCAAGTGTGTGGTAGACAGTGCCAAGGAAAAGAGAGAAGCGAGCATCAACCTTCGGACGAGATCATCGACGCAGCCCGCGACTACGTGCTTGCTGATGACCGGCGCAAACGATCATACCTGGAAGATATGGGGCGAGGGCAGTATGCCTACAATAGCGTGGATGCTGCTGTGATGGCGAGGATGGCTGCCATCCTCGAGGACCCCGTCCAGTTCCGGGACTTCATCCGGAACGAGGAGGGGAAAATAGGAGGAGGAAAAGGGTGGGCATTTCTGTGCCGGGACATCAAGTGCTACGAGCGACTTTGGTTTCGCTTGCTCGAGCTGGGCGTGTTTGTGTCGAATCAATATCCGGTGATGGAGCCGCCGCAGCACGATCTCTTCACGGAGTACATCTACATGGTCGACTTGGATTCCGGGACTTTCTCGGTCAGCGCCTGCCATGTTGTAAATTCGGGTACCTCCTGGAAGGTAAGCGTTTCTGGATTTCATGTCGGGAGCTTGTTCTTGTGTCTTTGTGTAGATGGGGAAGATCCCCAAGAACTGGTTTCGGCACCTCCTAGTTCCAGTGCCCTGGATCGAGCTAGCCATTGCGTACTCGCCCGCTGTTAAGAGGATCGTCCTGGAGAGGCTCAACCGCAGTGAGAACTTTCTGTTTCGCATGGTGGTCGACAAGCTCAGCGCTCCATACCAGAGCTTCGACGAGTGTCTCAACATCCTGCAGCTCATCCAGAAGTTTTTGTTTGCCAAGGATAGTAATAATCTTTATGCCAAGGTTACTGTGAACCAGGTGCGTTCACTGTCAGCAGTTGATCAGTCTCAGGCGGTAAGAAACTCTCCTCTTGAAAGTGTTTTACACAGACTCTTTATTTTCTTACAGGTGCCACAAGAGGACAAGGATATTGAGGAAAATGATTTGGAGGAAGAGGGAAACCTTGCATTGCGCACGGTCTTAGAGGTCTTGCTTTTTAGGTCGTGAAAAGTGTAATTTGATTCGTAAAATATTCTGTGATTTCTCTAATTTAGAGTTTTACACTTGTGTCCAGGCGAGCATATATTCTAAAATAATTTGTTGCAGGTTGCATGCAATAGCGCTTGGTTTGTTTAATTGTAGTGTCATTGAATAATCTAATTGATCAATAATTATAAACATATTTAAATAAAAATTAATATTATTGCCATTAGATGGTAGAATAAATAATTTGCTGTGCATCTCTTGGTTTCTTTAATAGTAGTGTTATTTCTATTTACTACTCTAGTTGATCAAATAGAAGTTTATAATTATAGACATGTTTATAATTTATAAACATAAAATTAATCTTATTTAATATTAACCATTAGATGGCAGAATAAAGTAGAATATACTAGGAAGTGTTTTAAATATTTTATAAATTATAAACATATTTATAAATTGTATATATAGGATTAATCTAAATGAATAACAACCGTTTAGAATATCCAAGCATATTTTAAGTATATTCACTACCACCCCCATAAGTTTGCTTAAAAAAATAAAAAATATTATACTAGAAAGTGTTTAGGAATGAAGATAAGATTAATCTAAATGAATAACAACAGTTAAATGGTAAAATATCCTAGAATATCCAAATATATTCTAGGTATATCCACTACCATCCCTAGAGAATAATATTTTCCAACTTCTAAATTATTGAGCCTCTCAATCACACACTCTCTTTTATTTCTCTTTCTTTGCAAAATTCTCACTCCATATAGAAAGGAATTCAAATTAGAATTTTTCTCAATCATAGAATATAGCTTCTAGTCAAGTTCTTGCATTTCCTTTTTCCATGGGGATTGTTATGATGTTTTCTAAAGTCTTAAGTATAACAAATTCAAAGATAAGCATCATAAGATTTTTAATTGATTGGAAAAGGGCTGCATTATTATTTATGACCCTTTCTTTCTATAATTAAACCTTCATAAATCATCTTTTGAATCATTCTCTTTAATTGTGAGTAAAACCATTAACAGATATGTGGAATAGTGTTATTTCAATATGAGAGCTGCTAACTAGGTTTTCCAGAATTTAGCAATTATCAACCATATTCTCATAGTCAATTTAATAGTTGCCAATGGCCAAAGTGGGCAAGCCACAACTCATTAAGAGGTGGTCAATATAGCTACATTGTGGGCAAAAGCTAGTCTTCCTCCATGTCTAGTCTCTACCCATGCAAAAAGCTGTTGCTTGGCATACATCTTGGAAAATATGCTATTCACCATAATACATTTGTAGTTGGTTGGCAGCTAAGGATCACCAACTTTATGGAGCATCACAACATGGTTGAGTGTTAGGTGCTAGCTTTGACCACGTGGTTAATGTCAGTCAAAAAGAGGCTCAAGGGTATAGAGTCAAGAATTTAACCTACCTATTGTAATAGAGCTTTTGAGGTAGCTCGGGGGTGGTTGGGTGGTGAGGAACTTTAGAGAAGGCATAGTATAATTTAGGAAGACTAAATCTTTGTCTTTTTGTGCCAGATCATAACATTAGTATTAGAGAGGTTGGTTGCAATAGCTAACCAAGTTGAACACTAGAATTCTATTGCTAATGATAGTGCCGATGGAGGTACGAAGGTTTGAACCATTCAAAATATTGTTCATAAGCTGTAAACCCTTAATCAAAATTAGTAAAAGATGTAAAATGAGATGTATGACATGATGGATACCATGCATGAGCGTGTTAAGACACTCAAGGCTAAACGTGGTGGTGCTCTAAATAAGCTTTCCTTGGTAGATCGACTCAATATATTAACCTTTTCCGGTGATGGTGGTGTGGATGAGTGGTTTGCTTGGCTAGCAAATGTGAAGAAGTTCTTGGCTATTAAAGGAACTTAAGATGCAAAGGCTTTAGTGGCTATTTTAATGGTTTTGTGGGTCTTTGGTGGTGGAATTAGCTTAAGGAGTCTCGTGTTGTGGATAAAAAACCATTAGTGTCTACCATGGATGGGTTTGAAGTTGCTTTTTCGTTTACGTTTTGCCCCTCACTATGATGTGGAGAATGCTTATACAGAACTTTTACATTTTCAACAAAGGAAAATGATGCTCGGGGACTATATTGAGAAGTTTACTCCCTTGATTAAAAGTGTTTTAACGAAGGATTTAGATAAGAACAAATCCTACTTCATTGATGGCCTTCATAGTGAGAGTATGCGGCAACACTTGTGTCATTCTCAGCCTACAAAGAGTTTGGAAGAGCTCTTTGATGTGGCTCGTCAACTTAACAATGAATCTCGCAAGTGTTTGAGAAGTCCTTTTGTCGAGAGTCATCGCGATGATCACTGTGGACACAAGGATGGGAACAAGCATCACAAGTTAAAGTCAGTGATGGCTACTTTAGATGCAAAGGGGTCAAAGAAGCAGAAGTTTTTTGTGAAGAATTAGAAATAAAGTTGTCATCATTGTAGCAAGTTCAAACATTATAAAGCTGATTATCCACAGTTGAAGAACAAGCAGTAAGGCACAGTTGAGTTAATGAGCAATAATCGAAAACTTCTTCCTCCGACCGAAATGGTTTCTCACACTGAAAAGTTTGCAACTTTTTAGCTTCTAACTTACTATCAGTAAAAGATTGACTATTCTTTTTGTGTGGAACAAAATGAAGCTCGAGAATCAGTTTTAATGCTGAAGGGCGTGTTTTGTGGTGGTCCAATGTAAATTTTATTAGATAGTGGGAGCAATGACAACTTTACTTTTGCAAAATTTGTTGCGAAGTATAGTTTGGTGACACGAGGAGTTCTTTTATATATGGTGGAAGGTGCAACTACCTTTACTCAGCATTTAGATACTTGTGTAGAGGGGTTGGAAGTGTTGGTTGGCAAAACCACAATTGTGAAGACTTTTTATTTCGTAAATATTTATCGTGTGGATCTCATTCTTGGGATGCCATGGTTAGTGAAAGTGGATCCGGAGATAAAGTGAAATATTAAGTGTATCTTGTTAGAGTATAGTGGCATTAAAAATGTATGGTTTAAAGAGGAAATTCAACCTTTAGTTGTTATGCTCTCCACTACATCTTTAAAGTAGATTTATTGTAATGGAAAAACACTTTCGAGTTATTTATTGTTTGTTCATGACTTAGGAGAAGTAGTAATACAAGATGTACTTGACGAGTTTACAAGTAGATCTTTGAGAAATTATGCATATGTAATGGTTGAAATGCTTCGTACAAATGGATTAAGAACAATTAACACCATCTACAATCCACTGATGCTTCCTCTTGTTGTTTTTCCAGATCAAATCCTGGCTCATTCATGCAAAAATCTTAATTATTTTCTATAATACTAATGTAATGGGATTTTAGTAGCATTAGATTGGTTTTAATATAAACTATTTGCTTCTATATATAAATTAAAATTATTGAGCTAATTAATACACACATTTCTATATTCTATTTCCATATTCAATGCACTCACAATATGTTATTAAATATCTTAATTATTTAATTTGTTTGATGTTGTAATTTAGTTTATCTGGTTGTAGTTCATCCATTCCCTTTCAGTATGGGTGGCTTGTGAAGACAGGTATATGTTAAACAGTTTAAAGCTAAAGAAATTACCAGAAGCATTTTATGATTCATAGGCTCAAATCCTATTCTATTTAAGAAGCTTGCTCTAAACTTCCATCATTTGCACCAACCTCGGCAAACTTTGCCTGGCATTTTCCAGAAGCTTGACAACTTGCGCCATTGCAGGTCTCTCGGCCGGCGATGGCTTTGTGCAGCACAGCGCGATCTTCACCACACGCATCATCTCCGCATCCACCAGAGGAGAGTGTCCCGCCGTGCTCACGTCCAGAATCTGGTCTCCAGCCTGCCAACCTTTCTCGACAATGCAGCGTTCGATCCAATCCGCGATTCTGCCGCCACTTTTGTTCTTGCTGGCTTGCTTCCCAGTGAGGAGCTCTAGAACAGTGATCCCAAATGCGTAGACGTCCGTCTTCTCGGTCAAGATCTTACTATGGCTCAGTTCTGCAAGTGACGAAATAAACATTTTAGTCCGAGAACGAAAAGAACTCTGGCAGTTCTTTGTTACCTGGAGCTAAGTAGCAGCAGTGGCCTTCCAAGGTTGCAAATTCCACAAGAAGCTTTGGCCTTGAGCTGACGTCGAGGAACACCGAGTGAGGCGAGAGGCTCCCGTGGAGGATCCGCTCCGGCCTGCTGTGAAGAAATGCGAGCCCCCTCGCTGTTCCAAGGCAAATGTCATACCTCTCGTTCCATCCCAGAGCGCCAGCGTCTGGTTTCTCCCCGGGGAAGAGAACCGAAGCAAGGCTACCTTGCGGCAAATGCTGGAAGAGAACCATAGCCGACTCCTTCCCCGTGCAAATCCCCAGAACCTTTGCCACATTCTCGTGCCGGAGCCTCGACACCGCTTCCATCCGCCGCATCAGCTCGGAGTCCGAGCCCAGACCACTGCTCCTGAGAAACCTCTTCACGCTGAAAACGTTGCCACCTTGATCGCTGGCCGCGAAGACGTCAGACGATGAAGAACTGGAGCTCGAAACTATCTCTTCGCCGTTCAATCGCAGCTTGTGGAACAGAACCAGATGCCAAGCCTTGAGATCTTCCTCGAGCTGGGGACGTACGTGACGCCTCCGGCGATTGAGAAAGAGGAGGACGAGGTATGCCAGCGCGGCCGCCACGCACAGGCACAGACCAACACCAAGGATCCAGCTCAGCGCGTACGTGGCACTCGTTAGCGACCGACAAGTCGGCAAGCCGAGCTGACGTGTCGTACTGCATAGCTCGTTTCCCGCCAGGCTGCTCGAGTTGACGATGGCCGAGAGAGCTCCGGAGGAAGGAAACGCTCCAGAGAGCCTGTTCTCGGAGATGTTGAGGAACTCCAGCGATTGCATCGATGCCAGCGTCGCAGGGATCCCGCCCTCCAAGAGATTTCTCGAGAGATCCAGCGTGCTCAGCGTGGAGATATGTCCGAGCGAAGCCGGGATGAATCCAGTGAACATGTTTTCGCTGAGATCGATGGACACAAGCCTGGAGCAATGCCCGATCTGCGATGGGATCCCGCCGGAGAGATGGTTGCCGCTGAGATCCAGCTCGGTGAGGAGCTGGGCTTCGCCGATCGTGGCCGGGATCTCTCCACGGAACTCGTTGGCGCCGAGCTGGAGCTCCACCAGCGCTGGAAGCTGGAAGATCGAGGCGGGGATCTCTCCCTCGATCGAGTTCTGCTGGAGCGAGAGGATTTGCAGCGATGGGCAGCTCCAATTCAGCCCGGCAATGCTCCCGGACAAGCGATTGTTGGACATGTCGAGGAAGTAGAGCTCCTCTAGCAGCGCTAGCGATCCGGGAACGTTCCCAGTGAGGCGGTTGTTCTGGATCCTGACCCTCTTGAGGCTGGCACAGCGCGCGATACCGTCGGGGATCGGCCCCTCAAACGCATTGTCGAAGAGGATGAGCTTGAAGAGGCCGCCATTGGCACAGAGCGCCGGAGGGATCAAGCCCGAGAGCGCATTGGTGGACAGGTCCACAGCCGTTAGATTCGAGGCGGTGCCCAGCCGCGGATCAACAGTCCCGGATAGCCCATTCCTCCACAGCGCTAGGGTGCGCAGCCTGGGCATGGCGGAGAAACTCACCGGCACTGGCCCCGAGAGGTTGTTCTGGAAGAGATTGACGATCTCCAGCGTTGGAATGTCGGCCAGCGATCCCGGGATGGCGCCGGAGAGCGTGTTGTTGCTGAGATCCAGCGAGATGAGGCGGCGGAGGCGGCCGAGCGACGCCGGGATCTCGCCCGAGAGGCGATTCGTGTAGAGGAAGAGGTACTCGAGCCTGGAGAGATTGGCGATGGAATCCCCTGGAATCGGCCCCGAGAGATCGTTGAAGACGAGATCGAGGTGGAGCAGCGAGTCGCGCAGCGATCCAATGCCGCGCGGGATGGATCCATTGAGCTGATTGTAGCCGAGATAGATCCATTCCAGGCGCTGGAGCTTGGAGATCTCCTCCGGGATGGAGCCGACGAGGGAATTGCCCGCTAGGGTAAGGTAGCGCAGCGAGGAGAGATTAAAGAGCTCCGCGGGAATCGAACCCTCGAGGTAGTTCCCGCCAAGATCAAGATGCTCTAGCCGCGGGGAATATCCCACCTCCCGGGGGATCGTTCCCGTGAGGGAATTTATCCAGAAATCGACGGTCTCCAGCTGCGTGAGCCCCGTGAAGAGGACGGCTGGGATCTTCTCCGAGAGCGCATTGTCACTGAGGTTGAGGTGCTTGAGCGACGAGCATTGCGCGAGCGATGGCGGGATTGGGCCCGTGAAATTGTTGTGGGCGAGATTGAGGCTCTGGAGAGCGCCCAGCGATCCAATCTCCGGGGAGATTGTGCCCGAGAGATTGCTGCTGCTGAGGTCGATGGCGATGATCACGCTGGTGCCGGGCGACGTCGAGGAAGAGTTGCTGCGATCTTGGGCTTTTCTCCGCGGGTCGCAAGTGATCCCCAGCCAAGAGCAGGGCGCTGCGGATGCCTGGGAGGACTCGATCTTCCAGCTCTCGAGCTTGTTGAGCGGGTCGAGGATGTAGCTCTTGATCCGGAGCAGCGTATCCACGTCTGGATTCGCCGCCGCCGCCGCCGCGGAGAATTGGACGAGAATCACGAGAGCAATGCCGGCAAGAACCATCGCTCTACTCTTTCGAAACTCCATCCTTTCCTCGAGAATGCAGGGAAGAAGAACCAACTGTAGAAGAGAAGCTTGTCAATCCATGAGAAAAAAACGCTTTTTTTCCCTTTTTTTTCTACGTACTCCTTTTTCTTTGCGATTGTACGAGGAACACGAGATCTCGCGCTGCTTCTCCTGGCCAAGACAGAGGAAGATACGCTCCCTTCGTAGCGAGCGTATAAAAGAAAAGCTCCAAACCCCTGGCTCTTCGTAGTTCTTTGCGAAGTTCTCTCTCTTTTTGTGGGTGGTCTGTCTGCGTGGAGCTCGATCCAGGCTGTTGCACGAAGGGCAAGAGAGATGGAGGAAAAAAATGAGGGAAAAAGACCCGAAAAAAGAAGAAGAAATCGATGAGAGCAATAGCAAAAGGACGAGCGATTCCAGGACGAGATGTTGGTTCAATTCAAGAGGAAGCAAACGATAGCGAAAACGAAAGGAAACTGGGTGTTTTGATGCTGGCTGGCGCTCTCCAAATTATTTCCGAGATGGAGGAGGGGAATTGACAAGTGCCCAACTCGACGCGTTTCCGGGCATTTGTTTTGCGCTGTGCTGTGCTGGGATGGATGGGATGGATGCCTCAAAACCTGCAACACAAGAACACAATCGAGAAAGTCCTACACGGGACAAGGCTATAAATCGCGCTTGGATTTGGCAGAGGATCGAGCAAAAAGCCCGGCAGCGGAGATCGAATCGGATCTCGCGGTTCCCGCTGCCGATGCAGGAAACGAGGACGTGAGATTGCTCAGAGAGCGCAGCGGAGAAATGGGTTGCAGAAGTTTCCAGCAAATTATCGAGCCCACAAGGAGGAAATCGCTGGATCTTGTGGCTTGCAGCAGATGCCGCAGAGGGGCAAATGCTTTATAGCGTTGGACCTTTGTGGGCGTGGTGCTGGTCGGCGTGGCCCACGAAACATGAATGCGTTGGATTTGAAAACACCGATTCCTGTTTGTATGAGCTCAGCGAAAAAGAGGAAAGCGAGAAAAGGAAAAGCTTTGGACGCAAATGGAATTGATTGCTCTCTGCAAGGCTAGCTCGACCGCTCTCACTCTCACTATTGCGCAGGGACCCCCTTGCTCTGATCATCACAATTTTGACCTGCTAGAGCGATGGAGATCAAGAGAGAAGCCAGACAATGGAAGCGATAAAGCAATGATGGGGATGACTCTCTTCTGCGATGCGCTCACAGAGCTCGAAAAAGAGCCAAGCGAGAGAGAGTGGAAAAAGCTATGATTCTTTTGAGACACGAAGATGCGGTGGAGGGGATGGATTTCTCAAAGGCTGCGCCGCTTGCTGCCGCTACGCAGTCGCACTCGCCGCTGCAGAGATTTTTGGAAAGAAAAAAAAAAAAAAAAGAAGAGGAGACCAAAACTATTGCCCGCATTCCGGAGAAATGCTCCGCTCCACTCATCTGGGTGATCCTGTGTGACCAATCATGATGATCCGGTCCAGTGGAACTTTCGCAGCCCAGAGAACTCGATCGAGAGAAAGAGATCGATCCAAAAACTCCGTTTGAAAGGCACACCACACTTGACAAAACCGATGGGAAACGATTCGCAGGAATATTCGCACGTCGGGTGGGCAAATCTGGGCCGCTGGAATTCGAACCAGGCGCGCCGTAGATAACGGTCCCAGCTGTCACGGCGGCGGGGCCGTACTGACCACACACTTGGGCGATAGGGCTCGCATCCGACGGTGGGCGTTGTCCCGGGGTGGAAAAAAGTCACCTCGGTAAAGAATCTACACTGACAGTACTGTGGTAAAAACTTCACATCGGTCATGTTATTTCGATGGCGACTAGTGGCGCGTTAAAACAAAATGCGTGCTGATAATGATAATAATGGTCGCCGCTACTTGTGGTTTTTTTTTTGGCCTGGCAGGAATCGAGCGTGCGACACCTGGCAGGCGGCTACAGAGCACAGGGTTCGAACATGGGACCGGATTATAAAGCGGCGACTTTCCGCCATTTTGACCTCGAGACCAAAAATCTAGAAATGCCGTCAAGCAACGGAAGAAGAGGCAAATTATCTTTTCTTGTCATACATATCGCGACGAAAGTCACGGGCATCTAGAAGGTCAATCCAAGAGATCTTTTCTCTTTTGGAGTGGCATAGCGATAAGAACAAACCAACGAACAACGCTCGGAGCGAAAATGTATTAAAGTGACCAGTCAACGCAATTGACGAACCCTAGTAAACGAAATTGACTGGACTAAATCCTAGTCAGCGTCGTTGACTAGAACCAAAATCCACTCCCTCCTACTTATAGTGAGCTTATTACAGGTGGTGCGAAATAAAAGGACCGAGTCTACATACAAGCTTGGCTTGGATGGATTGATTTGTTTACAGTCGCCACTCTCGGTTTTGGAAGATATCGCTCATCGGGGACATCCATCTCTTGGTGTGATAGACGCTCTCTCCGACCACCCAGCCGGGAACGTTGGCCATGATCCGGGCTTCCTCTTCCAGCTGCTTCTTACGAGCATTCACATAGCTGCAAGAACCGAAGCTTGGAATTAGAATCGAAGCATAATTGTAGCTCGGCAAATCTTACCTTATGTCCTGCTCGGCGAGAATGTAGGGTGTGATTGCGAAGCGGCAGGCTTTCTTCTCGAGTTTGCAAAGACTGCGTAGCGAGACAGGAATTTGAGATCAAAACCAGAGAAGAAACGAAAAACTAAAGAGGAGAAAACAAGCTAGATTGCAAAGACTGCGTAGCAAGAGAGCAATTTCAGGTCAAAACCAGAGAAGAAACGAGAAACTAAGAGGAGAAAATTGCAAAAACTGCGTAGCGAGAGATCAAACCCAAGAGGAGAAAAGGAGCTAGAGGAAAGAATGCGGGTAAGGATGCATACCTGCGATATCTGTTGAATTGCCCGACCTTGTACAGTCCCCAAAACGTCATGAATCCCACCACGGCCATCACGGTGAGGCCGCTGGGGCCTGTGTTAGGGATTCTAGCGCCATACCTCACGGGCGGGAGCTTGTGTGGGAGCCTGTCCTGGAGAACGGGCAGCTCCTTCACGGAGCTCATGCCCTTCTGGCCGCGCACCACCGTCTCCGCCATCGCGCTTGAACCTCGCCAAGAACCCTAAACGAAGAAGAACCCTAAATTGGGGCATGGCATTTGGGCGAGATATCAAAGAGATTTCTGGCCGCTCGCGCGCTGGCCGGGGAATCGCTCTGCACAGCTCCCGCGCCGAGGATCGTCGCCCACGCCACTGGATCGGGGCGGAATGGCATTCCCCTGAGGAGATTCTCGGCCTCCTGGAGCTGCCCGGATCGGCCCAGGATGTCGATCGCGCAGCTGAAGTGCTCGCGCGTCGGGGCGAGGTTGTGATCGCTGGTGAGGGACGCGAAGGAGCGGCAGCTCTGCTCGATCTTCCCCGTGTGGGCGAGCACGCTGAGCAATGGGATGAAGGAGAGTTCGTCCGGATTGGAACCCTCGAGTAGCATCGCGTGGAATGTGGCCAGGTCGCCGACGAGATTCCCAGACTGGGAATATGCCGCGAGCATGGAGTTCCATGTCACTGCTTGGACGAAGCACGAGCGTGGCATCTTCTCGAAGAAATTCCTTGCCTCCCGAAGATTCCCTCCCCGTGACAATGCCGCGAGGACCGCATTCCATGATACCTCGTTGCGGTCTGGCATATTCCCAAACAGGGCCATGGAATCCCATAGATGCCCTGCCTGGGCATATGCGACGCACAGTGATGTCCACGTCACCACGTCTTTGTGAGGCATTGAATCAAAGATATTCCTGGCATCTTGTAGATTCCCGTTGCTTGCAAACGCCGCTAGCATTGCGTTGTAGGCAGTGGTGTCCCACTCTGGCATGGAGTCGAATATGCATTTCGCATCTTCCAGATGCCCATTCTGGGCGTGGGCAACCAGAAGGCTTGTCCAAGTGATCACATCTCGCTCCATGGCGTTGTCGAATAGGCTTTTTGACTGGTGGATATCCCCCTGGTTTCCATAGCCAGCAATGAGGACATTAGACGATACTACGTTCCACTCAGCCATCGAGTTGTAAAAGATTCCTTGGGCATTCTGGAGATTCCCAGCCTCTATATGTAAGTGGATCATGGCCGTGCATGCGACCACATTCCACTCCGGCATGCTGAGAAAGATTCTCTTCGATTCCTCAAGATGCCCAAGAGTAGCATTTGCCTGCATCATGACCGTCCAGCTCACAGTATTTCTTTCGGGCATTTCTTGAAAGATCCTCCAAGCACCTAGAATATCCCCAGCGCTTGTGAATGCTGCCAGCATCACAGTCCACGATACCACAGTCGTTTCCGGCATATTCTCAAAAAGCTTTATAGCTTTGGAATGATTCCCGTCATCGGCATATGCTTGGAGCAGAGCAGTCCAGGTGAGAACGTTTCTGCAAGGAATGAAATCAAACAATTTCTTAGATTCCCCAAGATCTTTAGCACTGACATAGGCTGCAAGGATAGTGTTCCACGACACGAGGTCTTTTTCCTCAGTGGAATCGAACACCCCTCGAGCGAGCTCCAAATGCCCATTCTCGGCATATGTCTTGATCATCATGTTGGCTGAGAAGACATTGGGTTTATGGATCCCTTGGAAGATCGCTACCGCCTCTTTCACTCTGCCACACTTCCCATACATCTCGATCAAGAGATTCGAAAGGAATGTGGAGCAGCAGTCGGCGACTTGTGCGTGAATAGCCCGCCCTCTCGACAAATCTCTAAGCCTCCCGCATTCTTTGATCAAAGTTGCGATCTCAATCTCTTCTTTGATTCGCGTGTTGGAAGAACAAGATGTTGCCCTAGAAAAACTCTCGGAAGAATTTGTGGAGGGAGCAGCCATTGGCCGTTCGATTGACCATACGTCTATAATCGTGCCAAGTCACTTGGAAAAAGCCGCCGGCCGACCACGTGTCATGTGCCAACAGGCGAGATGAAAGCGACACTCGGCGCAAAGGCCGGATAGGGTTTTTGAAATTCTCGTTTTAGGGCAATGCGCGATGATCGTCACGATTTCGTGATATTCGCAGGGATCCAGGTGTGCTTCGCGATCTTCGCGATGGATTTCTAGGTGCATGTAGCCGGGCAGCGGGCATTTCGATCGATTCGTGTCGGGATCGAGCGGAGGACAGGATCGAGGGATTGTTGGCTCCTGAGATGCGAAATTCATGAGTTCTTCCGCTGGCCGCTGGGTTTTGGATCGGGCGCCATGGCATCGCATCATCACGGGGATTTCCTGGAGAAGCCCTTGGCGCCGATTGTGGTCACGGCATTGAACTCCAAGGAGCGAGCTGCGAGGGCTTCGATCGAGAAGGCCGAGGCCGAGAGGCGGTTGCGCGAGGCGGAGGCCCGGCTAAGAGAGGCGATCAAGGCGCTGAACAGGAGCCATGGGAAAGATCCGGAGGGGTCACTGTATGATGGGAGGCATGCTCTTTGTCACCATGGAGACTCTTGCATCGCGAATGCGATTGGGAGCCTTTGCCAGAGCTTTCTTCTGGCGTATGGTGTGAGAGTTGGGATTGGCGTGCTGCTCAGGGCTTTCAAGCTTGCGAAGAGGAGACCCCATTACACATTTCTCGATTTACAAGTAAGTGACGTCTTCGTTTTCTTCCGTGTTGATGGAAATACGCAGTTGCTATTGTCGGAGAAAAATCTTATTGTGAGGGAGGAAGCATGCCGGACTGGTTTGCTCTTCGGTGGCTTCGCTGGAGCTTTCCATGGCATTCGATGCCTTCTACGGAGATTTCGAAACAAGGATACTCCGCTGAACGTGTAAGCGTCCGCCTTTTCTCTCTTGTGTTATCTAGCCTTACGTTCCCCACAGTTTTATAGCTGGAGCTTTTGCTGGGCTGTCTGTGCTCTCGCTGGATGATCCTGCAAAAAGGCGGACTTTTGCTCTGTATTTGCTCGCAAGAGTTGCACAGGTACTAGCAGGTTTCATGATTTGGTTCCTTCGAAGTTTTCCTGAGATAAGACGCTTGCAGTGCACATACAACTCGGCAAAGGCGAAGGACAAGTTCCATTTTTGGGGAAGCCACTGGAAGCATGGCGATACTCTGCTGTTCTCCCTGGCTACCGCGCAGGTATAAGTTCCAATCTCACGCTAGTTTCCAGTCTCATTTTGAAATCTTTCAGATCATGTACGCGTACGTGATGAGGCCAGAAACTTTACCGGAATCCTACCTCGAGTTTATCATAAAGACTGGCCCCATTGCTAGGCCAGTTCTAAAAGCGGTGCGCGAGAGTTGCCGAGGTGGTCCAATCGACATAGCGGCTCTTTCAGCCTTTGTGGAAAGACGCACAGGTCAAGCTCTCACGGGTTTGCAGCGTAATGCTCCCATCATACCTTGCTCGTGCGTCCACCCGGAATCTCCTTTTTGCTTCCAGCACAACATGAGAGCAATGCGCGCGACATTCAAGAAGACTTTCCCGCTGTATCTCTCTCTCACGTTCGTGCCGTTCGTGGTCTTGAACGTCCAAAAGGTAACTTTTTTCTTTGCTTCTCTTTCCATCTCGTTTGTTCATTCCACTTGCTCTTGCAGTTCATGCAGGCACCGATGCACACATTCTGGAACGCGCTCAAGAGCGCAGTGCGATCTACTTACTTCTTGTCCGCATTTGTTGGCATCTACCAGGTATGCTGTCTCTGGCATCACAGGTGATAGTAACTTAGCTCTGGCTTTTGGTCCCAGGGAATCATTTGTCTACAGCGAAAAGCCGTGACCAAAGACTTTAGATTCATCTACTGGTTCGCGGGAGCCATCGCGTCTCTGTCGGCAATGCTGGAGAAGAAAGGCCGGCGCTCTGAGCTAGCGCTTTATGTTCTTCCCCGAGCGGCGGATTCGCTGTGGTATATTTTGATAAACAGGCACTTGCTACCTAACATCAAACACGCCGAAGTAAGCCTCTCTCTCTCTTCTAGTGTTTCCTTGGATTCTCACAAACTTGACTTGTATTTCTCTCTACTTGAAACAGGTAGCACTGTTTTGTTTGTGCATGGGCGGGCTCATGTACTACCATGAACACGAGCCGGACACCATGGCTCCATTTTTGCGGGGCTTGATACGGCGCTTCTTGAACAGGACTGGGGGGATGGACCAGCCCCCCGTGTTAAGCACCGCTTATCCTTATTTTCTTCCACTGGACGTCCCTTCCTCCGCCACCGCCATCGAGGACGGGCGCAACCATTTGCGTTTACATCTCAACCATCAGCATCAGCATCAGCAGCCGCCGTTGCGGGACGGGGTCGTCAACGGCGAAGATCCGCTCGAAAGGCTGCAAGCCGAGGCCTTCAAGGGACTGTAAGAGAGCTCTACTTTCTTCTTTTTTGTTCCTTCTCCTTGTCAAGCAAGGATCGTCGTTCCGAGCATTAGACAACTTCCCAAAAACTTAGGAGAGCGTCCCTGAGGCATTTTGGAATCTCAAGCTTGCGATTTCTTAAGTATTTTGGGTTGAGGACAAAGTATAGGATATAGTATTTCTCTCTGCATGTTGCGTCCTACATCAACGGAGACGTTCCCAGAAACGCCCACATCTCAAGATAGTTTTTGCCGGAGCAGTGCCAGGACTCAAACGTCAAAGAGTAGCTTTAGTGACAAAGTCAACTTAAGTCAATACGATGTTTACCAATATGAAAATCGAAGAGCTCAAAGGTTAGGCGAATGAGCAGGCGTACAGCGCAAGTACTTCGGAGAGGGTATGGCGCTCGCGTGAGAGAAGAAGAGAAGGAAGGAAAGCTTGCCTCGATGCAATAACGATGCAAGACATGGCACAAGCAAGGCGAAGGGAGGGAAGAACTACCGCTGTGGTGTTCCAAGGCTCCACAAGCCTATTGATCCAGCGGCAAGTAATGTGATTGTCAAGCCCAAGCGCCAAGGCTCAAACGTCTGCCGAATCATGAGCAGGTTCCACGACTCGGAGTCCTTTGAAAAACACTTCGCTTTCGCTTCTCTTTCCCAGAGTTCTCCTTCACAACTTTTGTTTCTTTCTGCGGTTGCAGCAGGCCTCCAATGTGGTACCGATACGTACGACTACAACTCATCGTCCAGTGAGGAAGACGATTGTTAGCTCTTTGTTGTGACTTTAAATTTCCTACTCAACTGGAGCTCCGCGGGTAAAGCAGAGATTTGGAACTAAGACTTTCTTTTGGACGAATGGACCCCCAAGAGGAAACATTGTTGCCACCATGGAATGAGAGAAACGATGAAGAACTGTCCTTGATATGAGACACTGCCGAAGAGGGTTTATAAAGAGGGATCTAGCACCTGTAGACTTTGCATGGCCTTTCTCATCCATCAATACATTTGAAACTATCAATATTAACTTGGAAAAAGCAATTCCACCAAGAAGATTAGGAAGTGATTCTTCTTAGTTGTTGGCATTGGCAGTGAAGATCCAACATTGGCAGTGAAGATGGAGCTCAACTCTATGGCGATCAGGCACTAAATGGAATAAAAAGCTTGGATTTGCTTGGGTGATAAAGATATGTATGCACTTCGCCTTCGAGAAAAATGACACACCTCTCGGAACATTTGCCTCTAAAGGGCATTTTGTGTTTTGGTACGATGTGGGGTACGGATGTTTCTTTCAGTCTTAACAATTAGGAGATGACCAAGGAATCTGGCTTCGAAGTTCCGAAATAGCAGCATTTACCACAGAAGGTTTTTATTTTTGTTTTTGTTTTTTTTTTTTTTTCGTTTTTCCTGGAAAGTGGTTCTTGTCTGGAAAATAAAGAGGACGAAGTCAATCAGCAGCATCGCTTCTCGACAAAAACCGCGGTTGTTCGTTTGGGAATAGCGAAGGTTCCATCATCGCAACTGGAGGCCTTGACGAGCTCGTCTTGGGAAGCGGCCTGTTTGGAGGATGCCAGAGTTAGTTCCTTTCTTTCCACGAAGAATATAGGCAGTGCGATACCTGGACGGGGTGGAGTTCTAGTTTGAAGCCTCTCAAGAGGCCAACTTTGAGGATTCCCTCGTCTGGACGAGCATTGATTACCACGACGATGATCCGAAAGCTGCCAGAGAATAAGTTAGAGAGATCCCAAAGCTCCTCAGAGAGAAAGAGAGAGAGTATACTTGGAGTCGATCTGGAGGAGTCCAGGCTCTCCTTCATCGCCATCATGAATGCTCATGACTATAATCCCGGGAATTGCCGCAGGGCCGGTGTTGTGGAACTGCAGTCTAGCCTGAAAGAACCCCGATAGTAATTGAGTGTTTGGAAACTGCAGCGTGCTTACCTGGATGGCGTTGACGGTTTTCAGTCGAAAGAGTGGGGACGAGAATCTGATCTTCAGCAGATCTTGGAAGTTTGCTACGGCCGCGAGAATGTGATCCTTGCTCGGTCTCAATGACTCGTTACCTAGAAGCTTTCTCATGCTGAGAAAGAAAGCTTGTGTCAGCCTATGAGACGAGTAAAGCAGCGAGGGCGAGCTTACATTAGCCATTTTTCTCCGTTTTTGCTTTTCGGTGGCAATCCGACTCCCCAGTTGTTTGTTTCATACGAAAAATCAAGCCTGGAAATGCCAAATGAGAGCTGAACTTTGCTTCACTGCGTCAGACCTATTGAACCAGTCTCCCGAATTGTAAGAATCGCGATCAAGTGACTTCGAGCGAAGCATATCCTCTCCAGCATGGAAGAAAGGAATTGCCTGATTTACATGGTTAAGCGAAATAACATAAATCAAAAGCTATCTACCTGTGACAATGCAACTATGCTCGAAGCGAGATGATTGACACGACAGCGATCCTCCAAGCTCACACTTTCCGCCACCTATGAAAAAGACGATAAGTACAAAAGGAAGCCTTTACACAAACACAAACCTTCATCATGATGATGTCAAAGAGAGTTTCATTGTCATGAGCAGAGACATAGTTAATCTACAAAATGCAAAATCAGTAGGCAGACAGAAATACATTTATCAAGCATACTATTTCAGTTGGAGATGCAGCGTAGGCAACGGGTTTACCATCGTGCGTCAAAACCTCACACCCTTTAACCTGTGAAAGAGATCTTGGTTTCTTTTCCACGAGACAAAAACAGTTACCTCTCTACCCTCAAAATCCACGAAAACGTAGTCTCTTAAATTTCCGGCCAATCCAAGCTGTAAGAAAACATGAGCTCTTTGAAGTCCATTTTGAGCAAGCTTACGATTATCCTATCTTTGCCGCGAGCCAAATTCTTGGCCATGTTCTCTTCATCGCCTTGAGGTAAACTGTTTGGCTAGAAAATGCAAATTCAGGTCAGAAAGAAACCAAAAAAAAAAAAAAAACACAAAGAGGCACCTGCAAAGAAAGGCCTGTGAATATTCCTTGCTCGAGAGGATCACCGAAAGGAGATCCACCAATAGCCGAATCTCGCATTCGATCGTTAAAACTGCAACTCTGATATTGTAAGAACACACTTCAAACAAAAAGACATTGCGTCACCTGCCGATTTGACTTCCTGGCAGGTTAAGTTGCGTTGCATTAACACCTCGTCCATTTCCGTAAACCTCTCCAAAATCCCAGCCTTCTCCGTATCTGAAAACGAACAAGACTTACAATTATGCCAAAAGCAAAGGCACGAAACCGCACAAGTAAATTTTAGATCCATCCACACCGTCTTTCTCTTCAGTTAAACTCTGAAGTGCAGTTTTGGCTCGCATCTGAAACGAGGTCTTAGGCCAACTTACAAACTGGCACGAGATGCAAACCATAGTTCTTTTCATGATATGTCCCATAAGGTCGAACCTGAACCCGTCCACCTAACATCGATCAAGGCGACGGTAAGAATAAACGAAAGACAGATTCCAGACCTTATACTGTGTCGCCCACATCAGCAGGTCATCAACTATCAACCGGTCGACCATGTAAAACTCGCTCGCAGTATTGTTCATGCATGTACTGTTTTCAATGACTCCGTCTTTGTTTCGACGAAGATAATATCCGGGAACAACCTACATTTGATTCAAAGAGTGAAAATTAGTGCCAGCAGATTTAAAAGCTCACTTACTTTATCCAGAACAGAGAGATGATCCGAAGGACCATTTCCGTGCAAATGGTTGTACACAACGTCCAGGACAACTCGCAGGCCCAGGCGATTTATCGACTGATAGAAATATCCGTTACTTCAGAAAAGTCACGAGCATTAACAATTACCTGGACCATTGACCGAAATTCAAATGTTCTGCGGGGTCCGTTTGGATCCGTGGAGTAGCTTCCATCGGGAACACCCCAATTGACGGGGTCGTATCTGCACCATTTAAAAAGCAAACATTTACTTTCTAGTTTCTGGGAAAAGGTACCCCCAATTAAATCCATCTTCGTTTTGTATAGCTACAACAGCCTCCTGTTGTTCTTCGGAATCTGGTGGAAGGCCCTCCAGTCTGTCGTAATCTAGCAGTAATGAAGTGGCTGTGCTTAGACCCCAAGGTAATTTTGATATGAAGCGTTTACCAAGCGTCTTCCATTTTTCCTTGACTTCATTAACACTTCCGAAGTCAAAACTAGGAAGAAGGTGTACATGAGTGAGACCTGCCTCAGCTAAACTCCTCAGGTGCCTCACTCCAGCAGATTCCTGCGACACGCCAGCCACATGAACAAAAGCAATACTTTGAATCTGTACAAACCATTTCAGAAAATGCTAGAAACGTTCCTCGTAAATTTTCAGGTACTGTTTGGTCTCTTGCACTGAAACGACAGAGAAAATAAATATAATGCCCACCTCTAAAAGGTACAGACAAAAAATTACCTGAAGTCCCGTATGTGAAGCTCGTAAATGGCCATGTCATTGAAACAATGAAGCATGGGCTTCTCAGATGAGAGACGATCCCAGTTTTCAGGATTATGGTCAGAAAGATCGATAACAAGAGATCGTTCTCCATTAGCAGACAAGCTGAGCAAACATCAGAGAAAAAAAGTCTCTACGAGGACAGACTTACCCTCTCGAGTAGGGATCGTTTGCGAGGCAAATTTCAACTTGTAATGTGGACGGATGAAAGACAGTCACCTCATACAAATAATATTTTCCAACCCAGTCTTTCGGTCCCGATGCAGTCCAAACGTTATGTTTCTCGTCAAGCTGAATAACGGCCTCAGGTTCTCCTCCTGAGGGTTCTGTGTACAGAAAAAGACGGACATTCTGAAGGCAAAACTTCGTAAACTTGAACTTGAGAGAAACAAACCTGAGCAGTGGGAGCCCAAATACTGAAAGTACACTCTGTTTCGGAGAATGTCACTCCCAGTGGACCATCATAACGCAAGACATCATCGAGTACACCAGGAAGCTGTACTCCAGATGCATCAATAGGTGCTCCATAAGCTGTACTCATATATTGAACAAAGATATGATTCTTCATGTGCGCTTACCATTACTTGCTCCTACTGCCAATTGACATTTTATAAGTTTCTTGCAGTCCGCGTCACGAGGTAGCCGTAGAGCATGATAGCCAGAAATATGTGGGAGCCTTTCCAGTACCTGCAAAGGTCGAATTGGTAATTTCGCGCCACAAGCAATACGAGTTTACCTCGGCCGGAAGATCATGCGTGTCAACTTCCAGCTGAATTATAGTGTCGGCACCTAGAGCCAGCAAGCAATTCAGAACCGAATATCGGGACAATTACATTCCACCTTCTATGCCTCGCCCAGTAAGTTGTAGTTGTGCGTGTTGGCTTGCATGTAAGAAGAAGCTTCCATCTTGTGCATCCACATTCCAGGCCAGCAAGTCCTTATTTACCCAGAAAACTCTTGCAAGATTCAAATTCCCCTGGAAGAACACAAAAAACAGTAGCATCGAGCTCGAATAAAATCACTACTAATCGGACCTGAGGTAAGTTATCAAGGTCCGGTTCATCGTAAAACACTGTGGGCCGCTCCGACACAATCCACGCAGCCTTGTGTTGAGAATTCATCGAGCCAGTACCATCCTAATGGCAGCAGAAGAATGCCTGCATATCAGTATTAGGCAAAATGCCAGAAAAACTTCTACCACAGCCATCTACCTGTCTATCTCCACGATGAATGATGAAGTTGATGTTTTCGACTCCTTGGCCGATCAAATCCCAGTAGACTCCAAACTTGTCCGATCCCGATGGAGATAAAGGCTTCTCCCATTTTGTGGCAATCTCTGGACTTCCCCAGACATGAAGTCCCCATTCGTCATACTTTCCATCGTTCCTACACAACAGAGTAAAGATTAGCACGAAAGTTTTAAGACAATGCTACAGAGATGTGCCTGTGATAGTGAATCCTCCGCGATTGCGGCCCTGAATCCGCCACAGCTCTCACCCGCCACAGCCTTGTTCTCCTCGCGGTGGCGAGGCAATGCATCCTCGTGGCGAAATATTGCGCGCGCAGCGATTTTCGCAGCGCCGATCCACGGCATTGCACAGGCGCCAGGGCGCGCGAGTCGCGAATCTCATCGGCGCAGCGTACCTGGAGAATGCCGCTGCTGCCCGCCGCCAGCGCCATGGATCGATCGATCGAAAGATGGGATGAAATGATAGGCGCTAGCCCTTGCCCGTGACAAGAAGAAAAAAGAGCGCCACTTGGCAAGCTCACAGTGGGCCACGAAACAATATACTACCAACCGATACCTTTGCCTTTACAACAATCTTACAAGTATGATAAAACTTTGGCTAGAGCTTTCCAGTTCCTCCCTGTACACTCCTCCCGAAACAAAAAATCTTTCCTCCATAGCTCGATCATATCGTTGCGTTTGGAAGCAAAAACGAGTCTCTTCTTTTCTCCTGGAATCGCATCCAAAAAATCGTTCTTTTAGCGAGTTTGTAGCTTCAAGCAACGTAAATCTTACCTCGATTCCACACAGTGGAACAATTCCCAGGTGCATTTTCTTGAAGTCCAGAGTGGAAGCATCGTCTGCCGCTCTCAAGGGACCGCGTCTCTTTAGCAATTCCACCTCGGCCACAAACATGGCGGTCACCGGCCTGTGGTCCGAGAAAGTGTATTCTGTCCGATAGTAATTGATTTGTCGAAGTCCTTTTCCCTTCCACAGTACTCGGTCGCACCTATTCGTTGGAGAATTCTTAGCAAGCGTGTTGACTCACAGAACTTATATGCGTACCAGGCTGGTGTTCTTTGTTTCTCTCCGCCGTTCGAATACTCGGTGGAGTTTGCTTTGTACTTGTAAGTCGGAGCAAACTCGATTGCTCCTTCCTGCCATCCATGAAAAACTCCACCCACGCTTTGGGCAAGCTTGAGCTGGAGGGAAAAAATCAGTCTTTGATTGGAAGCATGTCTACTTCAGAGTAAAGTACCTGATCTTTTTGTAGAAGCGCACTCCAGTTTTCGCTTTCCAAAAGAGTTTTGGTCTCTCCGTTAGACAATGACAGCCGGTAGTTTAAGTCGCCCAGCCATAGAACTCGACTGCAGGATTACAAAGATCTTTGAGAAACGAGTGAAGGCAAGAATGCGAACGTACTCGTGAGCGAGAATGCTTGCTGGAGAGCCGTCATCTGACTTCGAGAAAGTAGTTCGTCTTAAGATTTCAATGACATCTGAATGCCTGCGGAGTTCATCGCCTTCTCTCTCGCCAGATGTCAAGTGCGTGCATACAAAGCAAAAGCTTGTCTGATCAAAGTTCATGCTCACAGCAACAGACCCCTGTAAGAGACTTTAGTGCGACCAAAGAAAACATGCTGGAGACGCTACCTTGTTGCCGTAGTAGCCCATTAGGCCGCATCCAACACAGGAAACTTTAACATTGTGGATATACTGCCGCAAGTCTTTCCGAACCCAAACGGTGATGAAGATCCCGACCATTTGCTTGCTTATCATACGGACGTAGGATGTTTTAGTCTGTGTCGAGCTTCCAAATTCCAGCTCTGAACTGCTGTATGCCTTCTTGTGCTTGTTGAAGTTCTCAGGCTGTGATGTTTCCGTGTGATCAGGACTGGCTTCGGAGTTATCGTCAACACCTTCCCTCCAGGGCGACGAAGGAGCGCTTTTTGTTTGTCTCCGGTCTCCATTAAGTGTCCGCCGGATGATAGCTTCCCACTTGGTAGCGGGTCCTTCGTCTTCGGCGCCTAGGACATTTCCAGGATTCAGAGGGACGATCTCTTGAAACCTGCGAGCCAACTCCGTAAGAAAGCTCTTCATCGATAAGCAAAACACATACCCGACCACATAGATGTCAACTGCATCCTTAACAAGGAGCCATTCGCTTAAATCAATGTCGTCGGCAGGAGGCTTCCCAGCAACGTTCCAAGTTCCGGCAAAAACACTTTTGAAGCTTAAGAATGCAAGCAAGCACATAGAATCAATCAAAGGACTACCTAAAGTTCTGGTTGTAGGTGAAGTGCGTGTGAGATATCCCCGACTCAGAGTATCTTCGAAAGACCTTTCTGTTCCTCACTGCAATAACAGAGGAGCGTCAGAAAGATCTCGGCACAAAACCATCGCACCTGAATTGTCCTCGTCCTCGTCTGCACTGAACACGTTGGCGTCAGCTCCCAAGTTGAAGAGCTTCTTCACTGCCGATGTTGGCCAGAACGACTGCACAAAAACTAGCACCGTGTCACACACGAAAGATCACGGCTTTGATAAGCACCTCAGACCGCCTGCTGCTACTCCTTTCCATTGCCGTCGGCATAGATGCCTGCAAAAAAAGCTCCACTCGCTTAGAAACGCATCAGAGAAGTAGCGAGAGAGCCAGGACAAAAGCGTTTTAAGAACTCAAGAGGCACCAAACATACCAATTGATTCAATTGCCGGTGGAAGGATGATTCCTGTGAGATCTCACCAGAAGCAATCGAGGGACAGACTCAAAATGACGAGAATGTAACGTTCAACAGTTGGAGTTTGAAGGCAAGCATTTGATTCTATAGCCAATGGAAGAAGCAGGAATGATGCTGGTTGGTTGGCCTGCTACACGAGAGAGAGGAAAGAAAAATGAGAATCTCGGCACCGGCCCGAGTAGCTTGCCTTGAAAGATGAAAAAAAAGGAAACGCGTATGGAGGAGAACTAGCCGCGCCAAAAAATTATATTTTATCCCCAGGAGTACCTTAAGCAAATCTAAAGGAGCTCTCTGGAGACGGGGATCCCTTACCAGTGAAGCAAAAAAGCCAAAACTCGCCAAAAGAAACACACGCCAAAGAGACCACCACCGCCTTCTAACGACAACATTTCCAAAAAGACTTGGAACAGTTCCAAGCTCCAGTCATAATGCTGTCTTAGAAAAAAAGATTTGTCGCGGCTGACCGACGCACACTAATCCAGCGAGGACATCTCAACTTAAACACACCACAATCCCAGCGGAAAAAACAATCCCCAAAGGGAAAGGAACGATCTAGAAACCACAGCGCAATCGATCGATGGATCTCTAGGAGAAGACCTACCCGCTGACGATCCGCGCTGTGCCACGGCTCCTCGCAGCGCCACACGCCCTCGCCTTCGTGGGGTCCTCCATGGGCCCCCTGTTCGAATGCCGCAAGAGCCCTAGATCGGACGGCCCCGCAACGTCAGCGCTCCATAGCCGTTGGGGGCCCATCCAACGGTCGGATTCATCACAAACACAATCTCTGGCCGTCCATGGGCGCCACGTCCTCCACTCACCAAAGCCATTTAAACATATATATCCAAATGGAACATCGCTGTCCCAGGCTTGATTGTCTGCCTTTTAGCGGCTCGCCAAGGTTCGATTCCTGTGGCTGGATTGGACTCCATTGTCTTTACCTTTTGCGTCGCTATTGTGCTCCTCGCCAGCGTCATTGCGAATGTACGTAACGCGAGAGAAAATTCCAGCGAACTTCCGGGGTCATCCGTACGCCAGCATTAGCGCTAACAATTCTTGCCCCTCCACTGTTTAATCTTACTTTATCAAACTAAGCAAATCCTCGTTGTCCTTGGTGTGTACTAGAGCTGGCTACGTTCCACATTGAGAGTGGGTAACAGGATGGCAAAGCGCCTGTCCTTGTGGATAGGGCTAAACACTGGAATCATTGAATTTTTTGTTTCGGCTGGCATGTCATATCGTACGGCTCGTGGACTGGCTGTGATGACATGGCCAGCGGAAAAGCGCGGGAAACGGGTGCCCTAGAATGTTAGGGCTCGTGTCTCCTGCCAGTGCCCCTGTGCTCTTGGCCGCGGCGGCGAGGAGGATGGACGAAGGCGGGCTTGATTCCAATGGCAAGGTCTACGCGAGCAGGGAGGATATGTGGAAAGAGGAGGCGGGGAGTGGCGTCGCCGAGAGTCCCAAGAGGAAGGAGTGGTACCAGAAGGGGATTTCTTACTGGGAGGTGAGCTCTAGGCTGAGATTAGTGTTGGTTTTTACGGTAGAATTCTTGTATCAGGGTGTAGATCCGACTGTGGACGGCGTGCTGGGTGGATTTGGCAAAGTGAGCAACAGGGATGTGATTGATAGCAATGCTTTTCTCACGGAGTTGCTTAAAGAACGCATTCTTCCGACTAAAGACAATAGAAAACTCGTGGCTCTTGGTGAGAAAGACTTGGTTTTCTTCTTTTCCTGCCTTGTTCTCTAATCTAGATTGTACTTTTTCCAGATTGTGGGGCTGGTGTTGGAAGGATAACCGAGAATTTGCTCTTGCGGCATTTTCATGAGGTGATAAGAGTGTTTCTTCTTTCATGTTTTCCCGTATGGATGATAAGTTTGTGAGATCAGCTGTTCAGGTGGATCTAGTCGAGCCGGTCAGGCATTTTTTAGATGCTACCAAGAAACGATTGACCTCCGACGTTCCAGAAAATGTGCAGCACAAAGCCGTCAACTTCTTCTGCACGCCGCTCCAGGTGATTCGTGAATTCGTTTTGATCGTCCTCTTGCTTAAGGTGTCTACAGGAATTTACACCCGAGCCTCATCGATACGATGTGATTTGGGTGCAATGGTGCATTGGCCATCTCACGGACGATGACTTTGTTGCGTTTTTCCGACGCGCTGACGTGAGAGTTGGCTTTCGCATTGCCTTAGCTTTATCTCTGATGGCTTTCATGCGTGATTGTTTGCAGATTGGTTTGAAACCCGGTGGCTTTTTTGTGCTGAAAGAGAACATCGCGAGGCATGGTAAGTTCATATAGTTCTTTTGCTTGCTAAACAATTCTGTGCTCTTGCAGGTTTTGTGGTTGACAAACTTGATAGTAGCGTCACTCGCTCTGATGCTTATTTCCGAGACCTTTTTCTGCGCGCTGGTTTCCATCTATTAAAAACCAAGGTCAGTTCTTATTTCTCGGCGCATACCAGTTATTCATTACTTTCTTTTTGGCTTCCTTCTCCAGTTGCAAAAGGGGTTCCCTCGTGAATTGTTCGGAGTGAGAATGTATGCATTGAGCAGTGTTTTGCAAGAAACTGCTGCGCCAAGCTCTGCTTCGAAAGATGTCCGGGCATCAAAGGGAGTAGCCAGGCTAAAACCACGAACTTCGAAGAGGTGTAATTGATGGAATGAGAATGACATCATGGAAGCTAATGTTTAGATAAAATGGAGGTGATCTTAGAATCATACAGACTTACAAGCTGGCCTGGTTCGATGGTGGTGTGGATTTGTGATGAACAGGAACGCCCGCACGAGCTTGTCAAATCGTGCACAAGCAAAGGAAGTCTACAATCAGATCCATCACTTAGTTTCCTATGCCTGGTCCGGTGAGCTGGGTGATGCCGCGTGATTGTTTGATGCAATGCCGGAGGTGGACCTGGCATCCTGGACACCGATGCTGGGAGCATTTGCCCAGGTTGGTGATCTGGAGAAATTTAGCTAGAGAAATCACACACACACACACATATACATATACATATATGAGTACTTGCCCAGCAAATGCTGGGTGGTTTACAAAGAGGTTCAATATAAAACCTCTTTATAGACAGTGTTGATTGTAAAAACAGAAGGATCTTGAGGAAGGAGGTGGCCTTGACGTGTGGTGTTTTGAACTTTAATTCCAAGTCCATGTGGTGATGTGTATCTTGATAAAGCCACATAAAGTTGCCTAAAGTTGCCCATGAGTGAAAATTAGGTGGGGCAACTAAACTCTAACTCGGTCAAATGTCTGTCCTTGGCATTTAGAGATTGTTAAGCAATAACCCAAACAAATTAGAAATTGTTATTTGGACATTTTGAATGGAATTTCTATATTTGATGGTATTAGTGTGATATGTGGGATAAAAACTCTTGTCCCTTTAGATTGCCCCATCACAATTTCACAATCTAAAACATTTGGTAGTGCATTTTTCAAGATAAGACATGTGTTGTTGCATAGTTCTGTTGATGGAGACATATTTCTTAGGAGGATAAAAATAGCACCTTATTTAAGAGAGAGTTTATGTGGTGGGAGACCAGAAGGTGTGATAGAATTTAAAAATTCAGCTGGAAAATTTTTAAGATGTTCAATGTCAACGAAATCAATGCTTTTGTAGATATATGTATCATCTTGTAATCTAGAGACAATAGTGTTGTTGATTGCAAATGTATCATCATTAAGTGGGGTAAGTATGACTCAATTGACTGCAATATAAAGGTTTGAAATATCAAGTACTGAAGGGTAGACAAAATTAATAATAGATGAATAAATTAGTTGTGTATGAGGCAATACAATGGAAATAGAAGGTAAATATGGTAAATTTTCAAAATTTTCACCATTTCTAACATTGAGAAGCTATTCAGATCATGATTTATCACTTTCAGCAAGTTGCATATTTGTTTTCAAATATAACTTTCTAAATAATTTTCATAATTTATTCATTCTTACAGAACTTGAAACAATTTGTGCCCTATGTCCATATGGAATGAATGGAAGTGTTTATCTAAAGTCCCCGCTAGTGACAACAATTATACTACCAAAAGGTAATGATGTATTTTTTAGGTCTCGCAACACTCGATCAACAGCAGTGAATGCATGAGTGTGAACCATACTTATTTCATCCCATAACAATATGTTAGTAGTTTTGATTCTTATACCTACTTCACTATTAGCAGTTATAGCAGAAGTTGATGTTTCATTTATTGGAATAGGAAGTTTAAAAGTAGAATGTGAAGTTCGGCCATTATAAAGTAAAAAACTTGCAATTCCTGTCCAAGCTATGTTAACAACATTTATTTTTTTCAGTTGCAAAATATTTATAAAAGCGTTAAGAAGAAATGTTTTACTAGTACCACCAGGGCCATCAATAAAAATGTATCAATTATGCTCAGTTGGGTGATCAATAACATTAAGAATATCATTAAAAATATTTAACTGTTCTTGATTAAATCGAGGAATATTTTGTTCAACATTTTGATATATTTGTGTTGAGTTGAAAATATTTTCATCATCAAAATTTTCAGAAGGTAAAGGTAGATGGTAGTTTTAATTAGTTTTGCCATGCATTTTCATTTTAATATTTATATCATGTAAAGCATGTTCATAATGAAAAATTGGATTTGTTTGCATGAAATCCTCAGAGAAAAAGTCTTTAAATTTATCCCATAAGAAGTAAGGATCTTTTGGAGTGCAAAAGATACAAAGTAATACAAATAATTATCTTAATTGTGATGGCATTCTAAAAAAGCAAGCATCTTCTAAACATTTTTCCTATTCGGTATCATCAGCTATAAACCCTATTGCATCTGCATCTTGTTAAAACGTGTCATAATAAATATTGTTAACTGTCTTGAGATCTTTGAAAGACGTAACACCTCTTTTATAGAGTAAAATAAGATGTAAATGATATAATTCAACATTAAATGGTGACATAGAATGCATTCAGGGAATGACATTTCTTGTATGTCGAATTTGCTAGTTATGAGTATGAGGGTTAAATGTATAATATAAAGGGATTTTAGGATATGTATATTGTCTAGCATTTGGGTCATTTATATTTTAATTCAAACCATTTTGTCAACATTGTACCATTTTGAGTAGCTCTTTGAAATGTCATTTGTTCAGAACCTTCTATAAAATAGACATTTTGAAAATTTGGAAGATAGATAGGAAGACGGATTATAGGGGTCGAACGGCCATGCATTTTAAATTTAAAAAGTCTCTATATTACCTTTGGAGCAAATACATAACATGTATTTAAAAAAATTGGGATTTCATCTCAATTTAAAATATTATCAGGTTGTTGGGTTGCTGAATGGATTTAAATTGTAGCACAATCATAACCTTTATAGACATCTTGAAATAAATACTTAATACTTTTTATAGTAGCACAAATTTCAATATTAATATGAGCATTATATTTTTTACAAAGGTATTTATTATAAGGCACTACCCAACGATTATCAATATAACACCCATTTTTTAGAAATGTACTGCCATTATCAGGTCTATAATAATCTGGATATCCATCAACACTAAAAGTAGTTTCATAATTAAATTTTTTGGGATAACCTTTTGAGTAAGTGCCATTTTCTATGCAAAGACTATTAGGGTAAAGAAGCCCATATGGACCATGTATCATATGAAATGTAATTATTTTAGGAATTTCAGGTTCATTTTGAGGATCAAGAAATTGTGCCGTTATGTATTGGTTAATAGCATCATGGTCTTTAATTTTTTTTTCATGAGATAAAATCCCTAGAAAGTGACAATATGGAAGACCTCTCTTTTGAAATTCAATTAAATATATAAAAACAATACAATTTCCAAAAATATGTTTTTTAGTAATATCATTCAAAAATTCTTTAAGCTTGATATAAAATACTCTAGAAACCAAGTCTGGACAATCCTCAGGACCTTCATTTAGATATAAGTTTTTAGAAATTTCTGGCCATTTGGGATTGCATGTAAAAGTAATGAAAAGATCTGGCTTTGAAAAATGAGTAACTATAGCCATTGCATTTTGATAATTTTATTGCATTGCTCTAAGGCCACCCCCAAAACTTGAAGGTAAAATAATAATCTTGCTTGGATTTATATTTTCATTAGTAGCATGGTTTGCAACATAATCCATAAGACTAGTATACATTTCAACTTGCAATTGTTTCTGATGAGTGCAATAGTAATTCAAATTATTGTTTTCAACTTTTACATAAGTATCGAGTATATATTGTTGTGTGAGTTTTCCTGCATGTAAAATTTGATCAAAACCAAAGTGTATTGTGTCTCTTATAGATAAACGGTATGCATAATATTGGAGTAATGTAATTTGACGTCCAGAATTAAAAATATTTTTGTGCCAACCTTTGTCACCAAAAGGAAATATTAATGGGTAAACCAATGGATCACAATTATAATCAAGTGTTGAGACACATTTAGAATTGCTTATAGTTGGATATATACAAATTTCACGACTATGTGGCGGTTGTCCATCATCACTAACAAACACAGCAGCAACATCATTTGTCCGTGGAGCATTATAGCATCGTGGATCAGTTCCTTCAGTTTTTAATAACATGTAAACACCACATATAGGATAACCTGAAAGTGTAGCAGAACAAATTTCTTCTTGTTCCATTTCATACATCATTTTGAAAGCTTGAGCATATAGGTTAACATGACGAAGGAGAGCATCAAGATGTTTAAGTAAGTTTGTCTCACAACTTGAATTAAAAGGGTTTTGCTTTCTTATATCTGTAGCTTCTAGGGTATCAAGTATATAAAGTTGTCCATAAGTTCGATATTGACCTTAAGAAGGATGTGCTAATACAATACTATGATATATTTGACCATGGATTTTAAAGTAATAAGGACCATAACCTTTTACAATATCAATATTAGAAGACATAGATGCAAAAGCAAGAGCACTATTGTAGTGTCTAATATTTGTTTTAAAATTAGAGTTCTTGTTTTGCTTGTAAAGTGAAAGTAAATCAAATTGTAAAAGTGAAATTGGAGGTAATATAAGTTGGTTATTCTGGCAACATATTGAAGAGTTTTCATCTTTAAAATGCAATGCATTACAAAAAGTACAAACAAATGATAAACAACCAATATTAAAATTTATTATGTTAAAGTCATTATAAATGCTATGGCTTGCTAGTGTGGTATTCATGGGTGGGAGTGGTGGATTTAATATTGCTTGATATATGTAATCATCATAATGACATGCATGGGTTCCAGATGCTTCTAACTGTCCAACTGATTGCTGTATATAATTATTATCATGATTAATATTTTGGTATATAGAATCATTATCATGATTATTTTGAACAGATATAGTATGTGTATCATGGTCAATCATAGTTTCAGAGGCATCTAAATCTCCATTAGATTGTTTACTATGTCGTATGGTTCTTAAAAGATGGCGGAGGCAAGGCATTTTCAGTCACTTCGATTATAGGTTTAATTATATAGATAGATATATATATATATATATATATATATATATATATATATATATATATATATATATATATATATATATATATATATATATATATATATATATATATATATATATATATATATATATATGTGTATATATATATATATATATCAGAATATATATGTATACTATAGTTGTATATATATATTTTTCACATATATGTATAGATGTGTGTCTCATAATCCACATATGTGTATATGTGAGCTGCCGCCCCGAGAGTCGCTCCC